TGAAGAACTACCAGTATGTTCTGATGTTTCACTTTGCCTTGAGGACATCAACAAGAACCCCCACCTGTTCCCCAATCTGTCCCTGGATTTCAGTCTCTGCATTACCTTTCCCAGTGACCACAAGACCGTAGAGAATGTCCTCTTTGGGCTTTCTGGATGGAGTCAGACACTCCCTAATTACAAATGGCAGAGACAGAACAAATCTATTGCCATCATTGTGGGAATCAAGTCAGTATTTTCAGCAGAGGTTGGAACCCTGCTGGAGCTCTACAAAAGCCTGCAGCTCTGTGGGTTGTGAGTCCTGAACAGAGAAGATCAACCTCATTGTCATCGAGTTGATTCTGACTCATAGAGAACCTACAGGACAGAGTAGAACTGCCCCATACGGTTTCCAAGGATCGGCTGGTGGATTCTAACTGCTGACTTTTTGGTTAGCAGCTGTAGGTCTTAATCACTGCACCAGATCAGGTCTTCCCCAATATTCCTTCCCATCTGATCAAAGAAAAGTGGAATCTGGAAATACGTATCCTGTGAGAGTTATAAACAGATCCAGGGGAATTCATCAGGTTATGAGGTTAGAGGAAAGGAGGAAGTTTAGGGGTTCAAACCCACCAGCAGCACTGTGGAAGAAAGTCTTGGTGATCTGCTTCTAAAAGATTACAGCTGAGAAAACCCTATGGAATAGTTCTACTCTGTAGCACCAAACAGCAACAGGTTTGGGTTTTTGTTTGTTTAGGAAGTTTAGAATTGAGGAAACTAAAGTGGAAGATTAGTGAAAAAGAGAAAGACCCTCTATGAGACGGATTGACACAATGGCTTGCAACAATGGGCTCAAACATAACAATGGTTGTGAGGATGGCACAGGACCGGACAGTGTTTCATTCTGTTGCACACAGGGTCGCTATGAGTTGGAACTCACTCCATGGCACCTAACAACACCACCATCACGTTCTATATTTCTCTGTCTCTAGCCAGCACCTCACCTTGGCAACATTCTTCACCTGGCCGAGTTGCTGCCTCTTCCCTTGTTGTAAAATTACTTGGTTAGCCAGAAGCAATTTCAAGAGGATCCCATGCTGGTGAATCTGGCATTCTGCATATCCATGGATAGTCATCCAGGCAGAGCATGGCTTGGTTAACCTATGGGTGTGTGGCCAGATAACACCCAGTTCATTCTGGGAAGCTGAGTTCTTATGATTATTTGATGACCCATAATTGAACAGTCCATCTCTATGGGGTGCCTGTTGGCCAGCCAGAAGCTGTTTCTCAGAAAGAGAATAGTTATTGGTAGAAGTAGGCATGACTTTGCTCTGAGATCCTGGGTGTCTGTGCTGTGATTCTCCTGTGGGGGCTTCCTGAGGCAGGGTCTCTCCTCCCCACATGGCCTCCCTCATGGTTTTTCCACGTAACCTCCACAGATAGGTAGCTGAACTTCTTTTGGGTAGTTAGAACCCATGTTCTCTACATTTCTGACTTCACCAAACTCTCCTTTCATCACCTTTGTGTTAATTGTATAGTGCAGGGTTTAGCAAATTACAGCCTGTGGGCCAAATCCAGTGCACTGCCATGTTTAGCAGGAGAGGAGTGGGAGAAAGCTGCCAAAGTATTCCATAACAGATAAAGAAAATCAATGGGAATAGGGGTAAGGTGGGCAAGTTTGGTAAGAAATGTGAAAAGGTTTACAGGGGCTGTGAATTGTTGTAAGACCAGCCATTTATTCTCACTCAAACCATCAAACTCCAATAGTAGATTGTCTTAAAAACTCCAAATATCATGTGTCTTATCCATGGGTGTCCTGAAGCTCAATGGCCAAGTGCACCCCGTCATTTAAATTTCCCAAGTCCCCAAATGTTACAAACCTGAACTCCTTCATTTTTAAAGGTAATGCATTGAAATGTTAGTCTGCATCTGTGTATTGGTGAAGACTAATTTATATGCATAGGAGCAAAAACCTAACTAAAATTAACTTAAGGGAAAGTAGTTTAACACAAGATGTGAAGAGAGATGAAAAGATTCAACAAGGGAAGTTATCAGCTCACCTGACTGGACCTTTGAGGAACAGATCATATCCGGACAAAACTACATGCTGCATAAGAAAATGAGGGGGCCAGGGGCACATCTAGTTCTGCCCACCTCACCCCCACTCTGCTATCCTCCCAGTTGGTCTCACACCCCGGCAGCCTCTCCTACGTTGTGCTCTCCTGAAGCTCCATTTCCCAGAGCTCCAGATCTGGGAGGAAACAAGCCCTGTCGATATCCCCATCCCTACCCAGTTCCAATAAATTGTCCTCTACCTGGCTGCCGTTGACCGCGATAGGGTCATGTGTCATCCTGGGACCAAGGATATAGGGGGAGTTAGAATACGTAGATTGGCTCAGACCGAAGTTCCCAAGCTCCCCAACCCCCACAGATATGGAGTGGAGGCAGCCCTACAGCAAAGCTGTTGGGACCAGGAAAGAGCTGTCCGTAGGTTAAATCCAGAGTCTGTTAACAGGAAGCACAACTCATTCTCCACCCTTCTTCTCCCCCCTCACCACCGCCATCAGTTCCCATCTAGTTGATCCCGATTCATGGCAACCCCATGTGTGTCAGAGTAGAATTGTGCTCCATAGAGTTTTCCATGGCTGATTTTTCAGAAGTAGATCACCAGGTCTTTTCTGAGGTGCCTCTGGGTGGACTCGAACCTCCAACTGTTCAGTTAGCAGCCAAGAGCATTATATTTGTGAGGGCCATGAACAATATAAGATTGGTCCTGCCCACATAGGACTCTGGGAGAGAACCAGAGTACCTTACTGAGCAAGAGACCTGGGCCAAGAAAAAATCCTCCAAACACCTGACTTCATGGTAAAGGTCAATTGAAACACATTAACTAGTACAACAACAAGCCCACCTGTCATAGATTAAACTTTTTTTCCTGATTCCCCTGTACGTATCCTTGCATGTAGGCACATTGTTCTCTCTCCAAGTTAGATGGTATATAAACCCACACCTCACACTGCCCTACATGGACTTCTACCCAGGTGACTCTGTGTCGTTGTCACAGGAATCTTGGTGTCAACCTCTGTCTGTAAGTTCCCTAATAAAGCTAGAACTAATCAACCTGGCTTTTTCCACATTTTTTTTGGGGGGGATCTGACCTGTGTTCCTTGGAGCCACTCCTGCCACTGGTCCAGTGGGGTGCAGAACTGCAGTGCGATTAATTACTTTTGTGTGTGGCCTGTCTAGCCATGGTCTTGTAACTCCCACCCAGGTGATTGGGCGGGACTATGTGATAGGGTGATTGTGGCCTACCAAGGGGATTGGTCAGTTTTGCCTTAAAAGAGAGCCAATTCCAGAGCAGAGAGGAGGATTATACCACCACCAAGGAAGGCGAGACCTGGCAGCAGGAGATGGCACGGTGGGCTTCCTAGCCCACGGAGAGAGAAAGCTGAGTGCCTGTGGGCAGAGACTGAAGGCCAGGGAGAGGCATGCCTGTGAGCATGGCTGGGAAGAGGTTATCCTGATGGAAAACTGTATCCTGAGCGTCCCTGAGCCTGAATTGTAACGTGTTACTTCCCTAATAAACCCTATAACTGTGAATATAGTCTGTAATTTCTGTGTGGCCTTTGCAATGAATTATCAAACCCAGTAGAGAAGCGTGAGGGACGGTTGGTGTCAGAGTTGGTAAAGATCGCAGAGAGAGAAGGCGTGTCTGATCTCTGCCTCATAGAAATCAGCCTTGGGCTGTTGATCTTGGTTCTCCTTCCCCCTTGTGAAATTAGAGGAGGTCAGATACCGCCCCACACCATTTTTACAGGCACCATTTGCTCCACCTAGGGACACCACCCTTCTTCTCAGTCACTCCGTGACCTTCTGCTATAAAGTTTCCTTTCCCACCACTCCTAAAATTGCTCTGTCTGAAGTTCTTCAAGGATGTCCAGAAAATGCCAGATCCTTCCAAATCCACATGAATCCTTTTCCTTCCTGATCTAGTGAAACACTTTCTTTCCCTCTGGCTTTGGTGACATGACACTTATCCCCCCAGTTATTTGTTCATCATATGTTTATTGAGTAATTACAATGCGTCCTAGGCTGTGACCAAGATGGGCCTGTTTCTTCCACTCAGGATCTAGTGCAGGGACACAGGCAATGAGCCTGCTGCCAAGGTACTCTCAGTGTAAACTAATGTCCCCAAAGAGCATGTTTCTCATTAAGAATCTAAAGTCAAATCTATAAAAAGTAATCTAACAATCACACAAACCCAAACCTGTTGTCACCAAGTCGATTCCAACTCCATGTGTGACAGAGTACAATTGAGCTTCATAGGATTTTCTTGGCTATAATCTTTCTGGAAGCAGATTGCCAGGCCTTTCTTCCATGGCACCACTGGGTGGGTTTGAACTGCCAACCTTTCAGTTAGTAGCCACGTGCAAACTGTGCCACCTAGAAATCTATCTAACAAGTAAATGCTACTTAATTGATTGTATTAAAATTTCCTGTGTACAAATTAGCACTAAGAAAAAAGAAAACAGATGGACCTAATGTTAGATATAAAACTAACCTTAATAAAATAATATTTTATAGTATCAAATTTAATATAACATTAAAAGGATAATCTCTAGTGTAGGTGACATCTCTTTCTTGAGTGTAAATACTAGAAGAAAAAAAGTAAGTATAAAACATTAATCACTCAGCTTAGATTACTTCTTTAGATTTTAACATAAAAAATGAATAAATATGGTATATAGAAACTGAGGTGTGTAATGAAAAGTAAATATCTCCTTTCTTGTCACATGAAACCCCATCTCTCACTCACAGAACAACCTACTCTTCACACTATGTGTTTCTCAAAAGGATTTAATGAAGAACAGTTTGGGCAGAACACAAAGTATCACAGTTCAGAACAAGAACACATGGTTGATGATGAAGAGAGATGCTGGTAGCCTCAGGGCTGTTTCTTGGTGAAGACTTCTCAAGGGCCACAGCACTCGGCTTCTTCAGCACTCCCTTCTCTTTTTCATCTAGATTTCAGGACGTCCTTCTTGGCTCCTGGCTCTCTCTGCTTCCCTGGCCAGCCTGTCTGCCCTCAAGGCCGCAGCCAGTCTCTCCCTTGCTTTCTTCACTTTCTGAGTCTGTCTCCTGATATCTATAGAAGTTACCAGTTGTCCACTGAGGGTCTGTGAGAGATACAGACCCACCCCTGGGATGATCTCTGCCAAATCTGAGGGCTGGCCAGGGGTGGGTTCCGGGTGGGTGCATGGACCTCCATCACCGACATGGCCCAGGGACTCACCAGGACCACCTGGTGTAATTATTTTTAATGTATTTGTGAAGTCCAAAGTATTTAACGGTTCTCCTGCACTGCTGCACGCCTGGAGCCCCTGCAGCCTCCTGTATGCGGACACTTGCTGGAGCTTCTTCAACTTCTCCTCCCATTGACTGCACCTGACCTCATTGCCTGGGTGGGACGTGACTCTAGTAACGGGCCTCGGGAATATACAGCTGGTCAACCTCAGAGGGATTTTAGAACTTAAACCTGGTTTACACTTGGTCTCGGTTTCATGCTCATGTTTCCTCTGTGAAGTCTTAGCCAACATATTTCTCTTGAGTTTACCCTTTAAAAACAAAATAAAATGTGAAAGTTTAACAAAATGGGGAATTAAGGCTCCCACTTCCCTCTCGCCCTGGAGATATGTGTTTCAAATTGTACCATGCATAATCGGGAGAGTGCGTCAAAACTCAGATGGCTGGACCCAACATCAGAGGTTCTGATACAGTAGGTCTGGGGTGGGGCCTGGGAATTTGCATTTCTGAGAAGTTCCTAGATGATGCTGATGTTGCTGTTACAGGCACCGCATGTTGAGAACTGGATCTTGGGTATCATCAACCAGATGTGAGTCAAGGACAGAAAACTAAAGGTCATTAAACCAAAAACCCAGACCAGTTGCTATCAAGTTGATTCTGACTCATGGCAACCCATGTGTATCAGAGTAGAACTGTGCTCCACAGGGATGTCAATGGCTGATCTTTCAGCAGTAGATCACCAGGCTTTTCTTCTTAGAAGCCTCTGTGTAGACTCGAACTGCCAACCTTTCAGTTACCAGTTGAGCATGTTAACCATTTTCACCACCCAAGGACTCCAATTACCCAGTCAATTCCAGACCGTGTTTATTGAGTAATTACAATGCATCCTAGGCTGTGACCAAGATGGGCCTGTTTCTTCCACTCAGGATCTAGTGAAGGGACACAGGCAATGAGCCTGCTGCCAAGGTACTCTCAGTGTAAACTAATGTCCCCAAAGAGCATGTTCCTCATTAAGAATCTAAAGTCAAATCTATAAAAAGTAATCTAACAACCACACAAACCCAAACCTGTTGTCACCAAGTCGATTCCAACTCCATGTGTGACAGAGTACAATTGAGCTTTGAGGATGTTACTTTCTTCCCATTCCTGTCACTGAAAACACCACATGATGGTACCCCCAACCTATCATCATTTGGACACATGGGTCACAGATTTCTTTGTATCTCAACGCTTGGCATTTTCTGTATCTTTTTTTTTACTATACACTACATCACCATCTAGTTTTCATAGTTCCATTAATGCCTGTCTCCAAAAAGAATCACATACTACTACACCCTTAAATACTCATTCCCACACCCAGGTCCCATCTTCACCAAATATTCTCCTGCTCATAAATTTTAAAAAATAACAAAACACCATATGCCTACCACAAATTTCCACACTTCTATTTTTTTACACAAAGACTTCCACTATAAATAACCATTCCTGAAGTAAACAGTTACTCCAGTCTAGGATCTCTTCATCTAATTCTTTTCTTCTCTCCTCCTACTTATTAGTCTTGGATTCCATGGTCCACCATTTCAATCACCCCCTGACTATGATCCCAAATTCTTTGTTTCTCAAGTAGCATTGGTTGCTGTTGATTTTCTATTAACCATGGATACAATATGCTACTTGTGTGCTTTTTCTTTAGTGTTGATCCTAGGTCCGTGTGTAATCAAGACATAGCAGGAATTTGGGGTGATCCAAAGAGGGAGACTTACAAGGTAGATACGATGAGGAATAAGGAATTTGTTACACCTTCTCTATTGTTATATACAAATAAATTTGCTTCCCTTCTTAACTCAAACCATTTTGGGTCTCATCCTTTCATCCCAATAAACTTGTTGTCAACCCTATGTACAACAGAATGAAGCACTGTCCATTTCTGTGTCATCCTCACCATCACCAGCATGTTTGAGTGCATCATTGCAGCTATTGTGCCAACCCATCTCGCTGAGGGTCTCTGTTGCTGTCATTGGTCCTCTACTTCACCAAACATGTCCGTCTCTAGTGATGGATTTCTCCTGATGATGTATCCAAAGCAAGCAAGTTAGAAATTGTTCTATTGTGATCCATAAAGTTTTCATTGGTTAATTTTTTGAAGTAGATCACCAGGCCTTTCATCTTAGTTTGTCTTAGTCTGGAAGCTCTGCTGAAATCTGTCCACCATGGGTCACCCTGCTGGTATTTGAAATACCAGTGGCATAACTTCCAGCATCACAGCAACGTGAACACTACCACAGTATGACAAAACTGACAGAAGGTGGTAGTCAATAAATTTATGTCTCCAATAAAAAAAAAAAAAAAAACTCTTCGCTTTTGAGTCGATTCTGACTCATAGCGACCCTATAGGACAGAGTAGAACTGCTCCATAGAATTTCCAAGGAGCAACTGGTGGATTCAAAACTGCCAACCTTTGGGTTAGTAGCTGTAGTTCTTAACCACTGCACCACCAGGGCTCCAATATTCACCTATATCTCCCATACTTTCAATCTCGTCTCTACTGGATCTTCTCTCAGTTTTTAAATACACACAAATCCCTCCAATCTACAAACCACTCCTCATTCATCATTCCTTGGCCTTCTCCCTGTCCATGTCCCCTCACGCCCTCTGCTTACCAGTGAAGTATTATGAACAGGTCCTGTACATTCAAATGTCTCCTACTTCCACACTGCTCCCCACTCCTCACACTCCCATTGTGTGGACGTTTACCTTTCTAAGCTCACAGGTCCTCTCTGTTATTAGTCTAATTTGTACTTTGCATTATTCATCTGACATGACCCATAGCAGAAAGAGACACTGTTGACCACCACTTCCTTTTGGAAGCCCACTTGTCCCTGAGATCCATTAGACCTATAGTGTCTTACTTTTGCCTGGCTACCTGCTCTGAGACAATTTCTGGCTCCTCTTCATGACCAACCCACAAAGATGGATACTTCTCAGAAGTTAGTCCTGCTCTCATATCTATTCTCATCCACATACTCCTACAAGGCAATATCATCCATTTTCCTTGTTCAAATACCATTAATCATATAAAAATTTCCAAAGAATCAGCATAGATCTGACTTCGACATAGAGACCCAAAAGTCACCTGCCCACTTACCACATCAGTGATAATATTGATACCTCAACTCACAGTGGCCAGGTCCCAAATTGAAATAACTATCACCCCAAATAACTCACTCTCCCCTCAGTGTCCCCAAATTCATTTGTTGTAAAACCTGAGTGTCATTATGGACACACCATTACCCCACAACTTTGTATCAATTAACTGTCCATCAACTCTCCTAAATCCATCTACAGATTCCTCACATTTGAATAATTCCTAATCACCTTTCAGGCCTCATTCCAAATATCATTTCCACAGAGTGATCTTTCCTGATCCAGCAGCCTAAATGACAAAACTGTTTTCTCTGTGTTGATATTTTTCCGTTTTTCCTGATATATGTATAATCATCTATTTTTTTTTCATGTTGTTCTTTCTTACTAAATTGGATTCTCCATGAGGACAAGATTAATACGGGTTTTTCAAACGTTTTGCATAACAGTGCTTACATATGACTTTATACATAGAAAGGACTCAGATATATTTATTGAAAGAATAAATTATTCGATCTCTAAAAATTTACTTCCTAAAATATTTCAAGTCAATTCGCTTAACTTCGTTATACAATGATATAATTTATGAGTAGTACACTGCAATAAATTATTAATTATTGGCTAAGATTCCAAATCCTTTCTCCCTGTAACCAAATCACAAGACTCTAATCATAATAACCATCCAATTATTGTGGCGTTGACCCTGATCATGGTGATCCCATGTGTGTCAGAATAGAACTGTTTTCCTTGGCTGATTTTTTGGAAGTAGATTGCCAGGACTTTCTTCTGAGGCATCTCTGGGAGGACTCAATCCTTCCAACCTTTGGGGTTGCAGCCAAGCTCTTAATCATTTGTACTACTCAGAGACAATAAACATCAATACCTAGAAAATAACCTTTTGTAAGATATCCTCAAACTTTAAAGTAAACTGTCTTCTAACTTAAAAAAAGATTTTACAAAAGGAGAAAATATACAAATAGACACACTTACTGTCAATATTACCAGTGGTCATGAAGATAACGTGGGACTATTCTGTTATACGCAACGTTACCATGCATTGGAGCCAACTCATTGGCAACTAACAACACTCAATATGGATTCGATACTTACCAGAATAGGCTGGCTTGGAAAACAGGTTGGTGCAGGTTCAGCCATGGTCTCAGAGATGTTCTGCTGGCCACTCTGCTGAGATGTGGAGAGCTTGTGTCTTGCTGGAAAATGCAGTGACTTCTGCATCCGACTACCCTTTTATGGAGTAAGAGAGTAGGAAACATAATAAGCCCATAACTCAGAGGAGACATCTTATCTCCTATCCGTGGGACTTGAGTAATTCCAAACTTTTATAAAGAAACACAAAAATGTAGGGTATTGACCCTGTCAGATAGTGTTGGTTGATGAAAAAGTTTGAGTCATTTGTGTGTTTGTTTGGAGAGGTAGTATTTGCAGTTTTTTTTTTTTGTTTTTTTTTAATATTTTATTGTACTTCAGGTGAAGGCTTACAGAACAGATAGTTTCTCATGTAACAGTAACACACATGCTGTTTTATGACATTGGTTAACAAC